TCGCATATGGAAAGAAGTGCGTGCAAATCCATTGCAGCCTGGAATTGGAGATGTCGTTCAAATCGTGGTCTGATCATTTTGTTTCAGTTTATGCTTCTCTGGGGAACCTGACAAAAGCCACTGAAAAACCCAGCAGTAAAGAGAAGGAACGAAGCTCCTCTGAGCCCGGATGCAAAGAAGGAGGAGATAAGAGAAAGCGGAACAGAGTCACAGAGAAGGTCTTAAATGCAAACAGCAATCCCTCCAGCCCCAGCGCAGCAAAAAGGCGCAGGACCTAAAGGATGGCAAAACAATCCTGCAGTGTACCCTGAAGTCTGAGCAGGGAAAAAAATGGTAGGTCCTAGTTAGCCCATCAGTGTTGAATGCGGGAGACAAAGTGGGGGAAACTGGTCATCGCCCCTCTAAAGGGAAGCAAATGGTAACTTTGTCCCCCAAATTTTAGGAAGAGAGGGAGGCTTTACAGCAAATGCACAAGTCCGACATTTCTTTTTGCTATCAGATGCAAACTACATACTTAGTATCACACCTGGATCTGTGGGAACCAAGGAGCATCAGTTTTTTTATTTACATTTTTAGAGACTTCCGTGTTTTGGACTGGAGCTACTCATTTTGGTGACTGCAGCACAATTCTACATAGCCAGAATCGGAACTTGCCAAAAAACAATGGAGTTTATATATCCTGGGATTAGTCAGGTGTATTGCCTGGTAGCAGAAGAGAGTACGCTGTATAGTTGTATGTATATATATATAGATATATGTGGGGATTTTTTTTATTCATTATTTAATTTACTGATTGTTTTAAAGAAGAAGTATTTTTTTGCAGAAATTCTTAAACAGAGGTTCGGGTAATTTTGCTATTTAAACTATTTTGGAAGTAGGTTTATGTTTTTACTTGAAAATGTGCTGAGTTTATACGCACAGGTGTTAAAAGTCGAACTCTCTTAGTGTTTCTCTATGATCCGATAGTAAAATTTTCTTGCCTGAATTGGGAGGGATTTAGAAAACATCTTTTGTAAGAAAAACAGTATCAGAACAGTTACAGTAAGATTCAACATTCTGTTTGAATAAATTTCTGCTGTTCGATAAAATGAGTTCTAGTCCATTTCGTTTTTCATTCCAACCCTTTTCATTTTACACCCTACATTAAGTTAGTATCAAAGTTCCGACTAATGGACCCAAACAAATCAGAACTCCGAGGCTTGAAGTTTCCTCAAAGAACATGGTTTTAGATACATAATATCGGAACGGTCAAAAGTGAAACCAACTCTAAATTTTGCCCCCTATCCCAGGGAATGGCAACCTTGGCTCTTTTATGACTCGTGGACTTCAACTCCCAGAATTCCTGAGCCGCCATGGCTCAGCTTGGAAACCTCTCCCTTTCCCCTCAGCATGGCTGGCTCAAGAATTCTGGGAGTTGAAGTCCACGAGTCATAAAAGAGCCAAGGTTGCCTGCCCCTGCCCTAGGAATTCAATGTAGCTAAGTGTTACACTTCCCTCCCCCTACTACGCTAATGAACACGCAACCCAATGAGGGCAATTGGCGGGCTCCGTGACACTTCTCCTTCCCCCCTTCCAGCAGCTGTGGGAATGACCTCGGTTCCCACGGGATCACTCTGTATTTAAGCTAGCAATCCTTTCGGTTTCTTCCACCCACCCAACCTGTGTGGCACCTGAGAACGACAAAGATGGCTTCAGCCAGGTTCGTTTCAGAACTTGACAGTTGGACTCCTTCAGGCGTTCTTTCAATAACACAGCGAGGGAGACCTACAGCCATGCACGTACACCTCCAACCTGTGTGGCTTCAGCCAGGTTCGTTTCAGAAGTTGAGAGTTAGGTTTATTTCACCGAGTTCTAAGAATAGCTCAGTTATTGATCAGCTTTTAATTCTTGCAAGCAGCCAGTGATTTTCTCCAGCCTCTTGTTGATTTCTCATCAATGCGATACAGGCCTGGTTCTCGGCCTATGACTGTAATTGAACCTGAAATGCAGACACGTGTCAGTGGGGAAGGGTGCCTGTCGGAACTTTGGAACTAGGTTATAAGTCCCTTTTTCTAGGGAGATTGTAATTTCAAACATTCGCTAAGCAAGCAGTCATAAGTAGAGGACTAGTTGTGTTCTTAGCCCAGTGGTTCTCAACCTGTGGGTCGGGACCCCATTTGGGGTCGAACGACCATTTCATGGGAGTTGCCAAACAAGGCTGTCCGCCATTTTCCCCCCTTTTCTTTGGCCACGCCCCTGGCACCCGGTGATGTATAAGTGGTTGGGGGTCACCACAACATGGGGAACTGTATTATGGGGTCGCGGCATTAGAAAGGTTGAGAACTACTGTCTTAGCCGATTGTATCATTTCTTTTAAGTGGTGGATGGCGGTTTAGAAATGGACTAATTACATAATTCATAAAACATTGTGGCCTTTGAATCTGAGGAACCACACACATTTGCATCCACGGGGCCAAAACACCTAACTGGGTCAGGTGACATGTATCACCAGAAATCAAAAAACCCCATGCCTTAACCTTTGCACATCCAATATCAGGAAACAAATATAAAGTTTGACTTTTGGTAACATGGCATGTGTCTGTCAGGCACAAGAAATCAGGAGCCAGGACAGAGTTCAAAAGTACAATGAATTTATTCCATGCTACCTACAGTATATGTAAGAATCTGATCTATCAACATTCAAGGCAAATTGGTACTAGATAAGAGTTAACAGATTTTTTGGGGAGGGGGGGCAGGACTTAGATCCCTGATGGTGGCGTAGAGAATCCAAACTGATGATGCATTTGACTCCGCCTTTGGGATCAGCCTGGTAACCCCCTACAATTATCCTCAATTCTTGCTCATCATCCACAGCTTTTTATTAGCTGTGCTAACTCAATGCACCTGGCTTTCGTTATAAAGTAAATTGATTTTTATAAATTTGCACCATACACCCAAGCACGAACTAACTAAAGAAACTTAAGATTACACAGAACGTTACAGCACAAATACCTGAAGAGAACTAATGTAGAGTTAACATAATCAACCTTTAGGTTAATAACAATGCAATCATTAAGTGTACTTAATTACATGCTCTTTTATTTTTTTATTATCAAATTTATTAGCCTCCCATCTTGCAGTTCAAAGGGACTCACATTATCACAGTGCAGTTAATTAAGTGTAATAAAATTAATTGGCTACATGTATTGAAGCTGGAGCTTTTCTTGATTCTGGCTCTTTTTGAGTTGTACTAAAGCCCTGTTTACGTATGTGCAGCCTTATTATTCTAGAAAAAACAACAACACAACATATCTCTTATCACCTTTACCAGGATCAACTAAAAACAGCAAAATTGCACAGGTAATCTTCAACCTGAAACCTTCATTTAGTGACTGAACTTAAAATGGCACTGAAAAAAGTGACTTTATGACTGTTTTTCATACTTAACAATCACTGTAGCATCTCTGTGGCCCCATGATCAAAATTTGGACGCTTGGCAACTGGCTCATATTTGTGATGGTTCCCGTGTCTCGGGGTCTTGTAAGATCACCTTTTGCGATCTGATCAGCAAAGTCAATGTGTGTAAACCAGATTCACTGACTTAAAACAAATGCAGTGATTCACTTAACTATCTTGGCAAGAAAGGCCGTGAAACGGGGGCAAAACCCCCTTAACCGTTTCACTTAGCAACATAAAGGTGCTCAATTGTGGTCCTGTCCAGGACTCCTTGTAAGCCTTTTGGGTCTATTTAAAACAACAATAGCCGAAAATAAAACATGCTCAGCCTTATTATCCAAATCTTACTGTGGGAATGGCATCAGAAACTCAGAAAAATAGACAAATGTTTTGCAAAATAGAAACCTTTCATATGTACACTTACCAAGCGGGATTGAAACCCTAAAGAGCTATTAAATGTATAGAGCAGGGGTAGGCAACCTTGGCCCTTTTATGACTCGTAGACTTCAACTCCCAGAATTCCTGAGCCAGCCATGCTGAGGGAAAAGGAAGAGGTTTCCAAGCTGAGCCATGCTGGCTCAGGAATTCTGGGAGTAGAAGTCTACGAGTCATAAAAGAGCCAAGGTCGCCTATCCCTGGTATAGAGTTTTTTTTTTAAACGTTGCAATATTCAGACTAGTTTTTTTGCTATAAAATCAAGTACACGCAGTCCTCAACCTTCGACCACAATTGAGCCCCAAATTTCTGTTGCTAAATGAGAAATCTGTTGTTAAGTGAGTTTTGCTCCATTTTATGACCTTGCTTAAGTGAATCACTGCAGTTATGTTAAGCGAATCTGGTTTCCCCATTGGCTTTGCTTGTCTGAGGATCACAAAAGGGGATCACATGACCTTGCGTTACCGCCAGCTTCATAAATATGAGCCGGTTGACTTTGATCATGTGACCATGAGGATGCTGCAACGGTCATAAGTGTGAAAACCCACCTAAGTCACTTTTTTCAGTGCCGTTGCAATTTGAACCGTCCTTAAACCAACTATTGTTCAGGACTACCTGTACTTTGTGCCATTTTCTTATTCTTCAACTCGGAAAGGATACAGATATACCTATAATTGCAATCTCCTCACATATCTGTGGGTAAATCTATTTTTTAAACACAACTGGGATTTTTTTTCCCCCATCTGAAAATGTGCTTTCGTGTCGCCCATTCATTCCTACTTCCTGGTATCGCGTCACGTCTGTTATTTGACTCTTAAAAGCCTGCACCGTCAGCACAATCCAGTAGAAATCCTTCCTGTTGTAATAATTACCGAAATAAATCGACTTAATGTAATGTTGGGTAAACAACACCCTTAGGACAAACCGGCCACACAGGCAGAGTTGGCGCCACTCGTTACAACGAAAGATGATGCATTCATTCGCCAATCAGGATGTCGTGGGAATACAATATTGCGTGTTAAGGGTGGTTCGGCGAAGGGTTAACAAGGAACGAGACACGCCCCGGCGGAGGGGGGGGCGGTGGTCTCTGTCAATCAACGCCTGGAGAGGGAAACCGAGCAGATTAACCAGTGGCGCCCCCCCCCCTCCGTGCTTCAGCATTCCATTCTAGAACGTAGAGGATTTCCCAACGTTCGGAAGGAACGCGGGCCAGCCAATGAGCGTGCAGCCCAAGCCGGGCTGCGGTCAGGGTTGGAGGCCGGCTCTTGCGCTGCCCCCTCCTCCTCCTCCTCGCTTTCCACCCACGTGCCTTTCACTTTGATCTCGCCGTCGCCTTCTTGCTTGCTTGCTTTTTTTTTTTTCCCGCGTCTCTTTCGCTTTCCTTTCTTCCGTGCCGGTCGAGAGGGCTGTCCCCTGCGCAGCCATGGCGGCTCGGGTGAGAGCGGGGAAGGAGAAGGATCAAGCCAGCGAAGGGGAGGAGGAGGAGGAGGAAGAGGAAGAAGACGGAGGTCTTTGGGAGTACGATTCCACTTGGGAAGATGAAGAGGAGGGAAAGGAGGAAGAGGAGGAGGAGGAAGGGAAGCGGGAGAAGAAGACCCGGGAACCGGCTTCTCGAGCCGCTCACCTGGAAGAATCCAAAGCCGGAGAGAAACACAGCTGGTGGCCGACCAACCCGAAGTGGGCCTCCGCTACCCAGGTGAGAGATTTCCAGGGAACAAAGAAGAGCAGGAGGCAGTCGTAGTTACGAGGACTTTCAGGGGGCTGTGTGTTGCGCCTGTTCCTAAATTGGGGGCCTCAGCCATCGGGCATTCAATCCCTAGTCGGTTCTAGGTTGGACTACTGTAATGCGCTAGACGTAGGGCTGCCCTTGAAGAGTAGCTGGATGTTTCAGCTAGGGCAGAATACACCGACTGGGGACGGTTCGGTATACAGGTAGTTCTCGACTTACGACAGTTCCTTTATAGCAGTGGTTCTCAACCTGTGGGTCGGGACCCCATTTGGGGTCAAACGACCATTTCATGGGGGTCACCAAACCATGCTGTCCGCCATTTTTTTCCCTTTTCCCTAGCTGTCCTACTCCCTCTTATTGGTGGCCACACCCACTTGGGGGTCACCACAACATAGGGAACTGTATTATGGGGTCACAGCATTAGAAAGGTTGAGAACCACTGCTTTATAGTGACCGTTCGAAGTTAACAGCAACACTAAAAAAAGTGACTTTGGACCGTTTTTTCACACTTAGGACCGTTGCAGCGTCCCCATGATCCTGCGATTAAAATTCAGGTACTTGGCAACTGACTCATATTTATGACTGTTGCAGTGACCCCGGGGTCACGTGATCACCTTTGGCGGCCTTCTGACCAGCAAAGTCAGTGGGGGAAGCCAAATTCACCTAACAGCCATGTTATTCTTAACAACTACAGTGATTCACTTAATAGCTATGGCAAGAAAAGTCATAAAATGGGGCAAACTTACTTAACAACCATCTCACTTAACAACATAAATTTGGGGCTCAATCGTCACAAGTTGAGAACTACCTCTACTCCCAGATTCCTAATTTGCGCTTGGGTCCAATTCAAGGTGCTGGTTTTAAACCTTTGAAGCATCTGCCTGTCCGTTACAACAATAAGTGAGTCACTTCAACAACTGGCAAAAAGGCCATAAAATGGGGGGAAACTCAACAAATGTCTTGCTTAGCAATGCAAATTTGGGGCTCAGCCCTGGTCATAAGCTGAGGACTCTCTGTACAGCATTTCTCACCACATTTAGGGACAATTCAAAACAATTGTAACAGTCCTTTAAGAGTAGTTGACACTCAAAAAACAAATAAATAAAAATTCGGCAGATAAGATTTTTTTTTCCCCTTTCTGTTTCAGACAGTCTTGTCCCTTTTCATGCAAATTCTAAGATTAGGGAAGAAAAATCCAGATTGTTTACTCTAGTTTAACAATAGTAGTAGTAGTAGTAGTAAAGTTGGAAGGGACCTGGAGGTCATCTAATCCAACCCCCTGCTCAGGCAGGAAACCCTATACCATTTTGGAAAAATGGCTGTCCAGTCTCTTAAAAACTTCCAGTGTTGGAGCATTCACCGCTTCTGAAGGAAGGTTGTTCCACTGATTAATTGTTCTCACTGTCAGGAAGTTTCTCCTTAGTTCTAGGTTGCTTCAGGCGCTTTGGAGAATAGCTTGACTCCCTCTTCTTTGTGGCAGCCCCTGAGATATTGGAACACTGCTATCATGTCCCCCCTCGTCCTTCTCTTCATTAAACTAGACAGACTCAATTCCAGCAGCCTTTCCTTATATGCTTTAGCCTCCAGTCCCCTAATCATCTTTGTTGCTCTTCTCTGCACTCTTTCTAGAGTCTCAACATCTTTTTTTACATCGCGGTGACAAAAACTGGATGCGGTATTCCAAGTGTGGCCTCACCAAGGCATTGTAAAGTGGTATTAACACTTCACATGATCTTGATTCTAGGGAAATGGAAAGTGAAACTTGCAAGAAAAATCTAGCAAGGAGAAATAGAAATGTTTATATTTAGTTCTGCTGAATGAGTGAAGAAACGAAACCAAATAAGCTCCCTGTACAATTTAGGAGTCAGAAGCTGTCATCTGAACCAGCTTGGTCTCTTAGAAATGACATCATTTTCCCACAATCAGGGACTAAAAATAAATGAAATAAAAGTCAATGGGTCCTGGCTAAAAAGGTTTGAAATGCTATTGCGTAAGAGCTAAATGGAGAAAAAAAAATATCACAGATTTTTCGCCTCCCTCGGATGCTGTTCCTACACTTATATTTTTTAAAAAGTGTTTTTCCTTCAGAAGTGGCGAAGGCCTTTCGGCAGGAGGAGTTAAAAAAATGGAAGGTGGGGAAAATTATCTTCTGGGGCGGGTGAGGGGATGGCTCTTAATCAGTCCTGCTGGCTGTTGGAACGCTCCTTTCCATATTCAGAAGCCAAAGGTGAGCTAAACCAGAAAGAATACACGGTCGTGGGAATACAGAAAGTCCTTGAAGTTGGGACCAGGACTTCCATTGCTAAGCAGGGTGGTTGTTAAGAGAGTTACGACCAATTTAAAAAAAAAATTGCCACCGATATTAAACAACTTGCTGTGGTTGTTAACTGAATCATATCTTAACTTGGGTTTGGCCAGTCTAAAGAAAAGAAGAAATAGAGGAGACATGATAGCAGTATTCTAGTATCTGAGGGGCTGACACGAAGAAGAGGAGGTCCAATTATTCTCCAAAGCACCAGAGGGCAGGACAAGAAACAATGGTTTGGAAACTGATCAAAAAGAGAAGCAACCTGGAATTAAGGAGAAACTTCCTGACAGTGAGGACAATCAACCAGTGGAAGAGCTTTCCCCCAGAAATCGTGGGTGCTCCATCAATGGAGGTTTTTAAGAAAAGGCTAGACAGTCACCTGTCCGAGATGGTATAGGTCAGGGGTAGGCAACCTTGGCTCTTTTATGACTCATGGACTTCAACTCCCAGAATTCCTGAGCCAGTTAAGCTGGCTCAGGAATTCTGGGAGTTGAAGTCCATGAGTCATAAAAGAGCCAAGGTTGCCTATCCCTGGTATAGGTTCTCCTGCTTGAGCAGGGGGCTGGACTAGAAGACTTCCAAGGTCCCTTCCAGCTCTATTTCTATTCTTAAAGTGAATCCAGTTTCCCTCATTGACTTTGCTTGTCGGAAGCCAGCTGGGAAAGTCATAAATGGTGATCATGTGATCCCAGGATTCTGCAACTGTCGTAAATACAGGTAGTCCTCGACATAGCAACAGTTCATTTAGTGTCCATTCAAAGTTACAGCGGCACTGAAAAAAGTGACTTATGACTGTTTTTCACACTTGGGAGCGTCGCAAGATCCCCATGGTCACATGATCAAAATTAAGAGGCTTGGCAACTGGCTCATACATATGACGGTCGCAGTGTTCCAGGGTATCACCTGATCCCCTTTTGTGACCTTCTGGCAAGCAAAGTCAATGGGGGAGCCCGGTTCACTTAATAACCGTGTTGCTGACTTAACAGCTGCAGTGATTCGCTTAAGAACTGTGCCAGGAAAGGTTGCAAAATGGGACAAAACTCACTTAACCAATGTCTCGCTTAGCCACAAAAATTTGGGGCTCGATTGTGGTCGTAAGTCGAGAATACCTGTACAGGTGGATTTGCTAAGTGTCTCAATTTTGGTCACGTAACCCTGAGGATGCTGCAACGGTCGTAAGCGTAAGGACTGGTTGTAAGTCGCTTTTTTCCAGTGCTGTCCTAACAGCGAACAGTTGCTAAATGGACTGTTGTAAGTCAAGGACTATTTGTATAACCTCTTTGCAGCCTTGGCCAACAAATGAACTTTTTTAGAGCACATACATGATGGATAGTGAGCTAAATGAAGCCTATGATAAAATATTTAGACTAATGACATATATACTGGTTTTTGAATGCACAGTGCGCGTATACGCAACACTGGGCTAAGGTGAACTAAAACAACAATGTGCCAAAGACCAGGAAATTAAAAAAAATCACACTGTGACCGAATAATAATAATAAAGTCAGAAGGGACTTTGGAGGTCATCTAGTCCAACCCCCTGCTCAGGCAGGAAACCCTATACCAGTGGTTCTCAACCTGTGGGTCAGGACCCCATTTGGGGTCGAATGACCATTTCATGGGGGTAGCCAAACAAGGCTGTCCACCACTTTTTCCCCCTTTTCTTTGGCCACGCCCCTGGCACCCAGTGATGTATAAGTGGTTGGGGGTCACCACAACATGGGGAACTGTATTATGGGGTCGCGGCATTAGAAAGGTTGAGAACCACTGCCCTATACCATTTCAGACAAATGGCTGTCCAGTCTCTTCTTAAAGACTTCCAGTGTTGGAGCATTCACCGCTTCTGGAGGCAGGTTGTTCCACTGGTTAATTGTTCTAATTGTCAGTTTCTCCTTAGTTCTAGGTTGCTTCTCTCCTTGATTATTTTCCACCCATTGCTTCTTGTTCTGCCTTCAGGCGCTTTGGACAATAGCTTGACTCCTTCTTCTTTGTGGCAGCCCCTGAGATATTGGAACTCTGCTATCATGTCCCCCCCTCGTCCTTCTCTTCATTAAACTAGACAACTAAACTAGAATAAAAGTAACAAGAATTATGGTGAGACCTAGACAAAGTCAACTATTACCAAACCATCCCCAAAACAATTTCAAGTCCTCCCTGCATTGTTTTCTAAACTTGAAACTATATTCTGTGCAAAGATTGATGAAAAGCAGCTGGCTGGAATCTAATGCTTTTGCAAGGCAATGCATACGACCTTAGGCTGAATATCCATCCTATCGTTCATTAAGTCCATTATCCATCATGAATGCTAAAAGAGGTCATTGGTTGGTCGTGCGTGCAAAGAGGTCATATTTTGATCATACATGGATTCTTTCTGGATACGGAGCTTCACCCTTGGTTTCTGAATATCCAAAGTATTTCTCCCGCAACCAAGCATGTAAGAATATGTGATATATGTAGAGCAGTGTTTTTCAACCTTAGCCATTTGAAGATGTGTGGACATCAACTCCCAGAATTCCCCAGCCAGCATGAAGTCCACACATCTTCAAATGGCTGAAAAACAATGTTGTGGAGCATAAGATACATTCGGCAGACCACAAGGTCATAAGTTGCTATGTGTGCATTGTTCAGTGTCTCTTCACCCAGGCTAGTCTGGAAATCTGGCATGGACCAAAAGTGTTGGGATTGAACTGCCCAGTCCACACGGCTCAACCAATCTCACTGACATTCTGCGCCGATCTGAGTGTGCAAAAGTGTGTGTGCATGCTTTTATGCACACCTGAATAGGGAGACTTAAGAGTCTGATTTATCGCTGAAGTGAAGTCTAAATCTGTTTCCTTGCGCAACAATTCCAAAGGGTGCCACCTGATCGGTAGGTGAGTGGGGGGGGGGGGGGCTAAGTCACATTCTACACCAGGGGTCTCCAAACTTGACAACTTTAAGACTTGTGGACTTCAACTCCCAGAATTACCCACCCAGCATGGCTGGCTGAGGAATTCTGGGAGTTGAAGACCAAAAGTCTTAAAGATGCCAAGTTAGAGACCCCTGTTCTACACAAAAGTATTATATAATAATAATAATAATAATAATAATAATAATAATAATAATAATAATAATAATAAAGTTGGAAGGGACCTTGGAGGTCATCTAGTCCAACCCCCTGCTCGGGCAGGAAACCCTACACCATTTCGGACAAATGGCTGTCCAGTCTCTTCTTAAAAACTTCCAGTGTTGGAGCATTTACTGCTTCTGGAGGCAGCTGTTCCACTGATTAATTGTTCTCACTGTCAGGAAGTTTCTCCTTAGTTCTAGGTTGCTTCTCTCCTTGATTAGTTTCCACCCGTTGCTTCTTGTCCTGCCTTCAGGTGCTTTGGAAAATAGCTTAATTCCCTCTTCTTTATGGCAGCCCCTGAGATATTGGAATACTGCTATCATGTCCCCCCTTGTCCTTCTCTTCGTTAAACTAGACATACCCAATTCTAGCAACCGTTCCTTATATGTTTTAGCCTCCAGTCCCCTAATCATCTTTGTTGCTTTTCTCTGTACTCTTTCTAGAGTCTCAACATCTATTGATTTAAATGTTCCTCAGTTCCAATGATTCTGGGTATTTTACAAAAATATAATAGCTAGATAGTGAGGAGAACCCGTGGCCTAGAGGTTAATACAGCTGCCTAACGTGCAAGCGGCCCGGGTTCGAATTTCAGAAGGGTATGGCTAGCTGATGAAAGCTAAATAGCTCGAAATAGCTATGCTAATCTCCCTTTAATTTTTTGTCTGCAAAAATCTCAATTTAACACAGAAATAGTTTATCGCAGTAGCGACTTTAGCCTGTAAAAAGCTCCTAGATTGGGGCTGAAAGGCAATAGTAATAGCAGAAGTCCCATATTTGGGTAGACCAGGTGCTCTCTATTAGACCGGTTTCACCGGAAAACACTTTAGATAGATAGGTAGGATAGATAGATAGATAGATAGATAGATAGATAGATAGATAGATAGATAGATAGATAGATAGATAGATAGATAGATAGATAGATAATAGAAGTGGTCAGTCTCTTTAAATGATCTGAGATACAAGGTAGATTTTGAGTATTCTAAACCGGAATACCGAGAGTCTGTCCAATTGAGTGGTTTCTGTGTCAATAAAATTAGAAAGGAAGTAATATTTTCACTATATTCAACTTCTAGAGGTGATTGCAGAATGTCACTAATCAAAGGAAATTATAATCAATTATATTTTCTTGTTTGGAAGATGGCTTATTTAAGATTTAGAACTTACAAATAGATTTCTTTTATTGTCTTTTTTTTTTTAATTAGAGCATAAGTAGGCGTAACTGGAACGCAGCCAGAGATATGCAGAAATATAGGCGGCATTACCCGGTAAGATTTCCTGTGCATTATGGTTACATTGATTGAGTTTCCATCGAGAGGGGCGTAATAGAAATTTGGGTTGGAATGCCTGTTCATTTTTGTTGTTGTTTTGAGCTGATTTTCCCCTGCTTACTGATCATACACCACCCTGAAATGCAATTATTCAAGTTGGGGATCCATAAATATTTACAAAAAAAAAAAAAAAAAGCTTGTGTTTGCTTTTTCTGATATAACTTGAATATCAGAATAGAGAGGCTCCTTGTATTGGGACCGGTGAAGCTACTCTGGCTGCATAGAAGTTTTTAAGAATGGGACAGCAAAGATTTATGGGTGGAAATAGCCCTTAAGAACTCCTGGTACTGGGTTTAATTGTGAATGGATTAATAATACCCCTGTTTGCTGACCATCTCCCTTCCATCTCTCTCTCTCTCTCTATCTCTATCTCTATCTTCCAGGGATTAACAGAAATTGAGGTCAGTGAGGAAGAAATGTGGAACCTGAGCTTTTACAAAAATGAGATTAATTTTTTGCCCCGTGGTAAGGCTTTTGAAACTGCTTGGTTTTCCAAGGGGAAAGGGTGAGGATCATAATTGGGTTTCCCTGTGGGCCTTTGACATGGCAATACATTGCATTTACTTAAAGGCTTTCCTTGTTTGCTTCCCTCCTTCCTTCCTTCCTTCCTTCCTTCCTTCCTTCTCTTTTTCCCTCTGTTCCTTCCTTCCTTTCCTCCCTCCCTCTCCCCATCCTTTCTTGCTTCCCTCCTTTCCTTCCTTCCTTCCCTTTTTTCCCTCTGTTTCTTCCTTTCCTCCCTCCCTCTCCCCTTCCTTCCTTCCCTTTTTTCCCTCTGTTCCTTCCTTTCCTCCCTCCCTCTCCCCATCCTTTCTTGCTTGCTTCCCTCCTTTCCTTCCTTCCTTCTCTTTTTCCTTCTGTTCTTTCCTCCCTCCCGCTCCCCTTCCTTTCTTGTTTCCCTCCTTTCCTTCCTTCCTTCCTTCCTTCCCTTTTTTCCCTCTGTTCCTTCCTTTCCTCCCTCCCTCTCCCCATCCTTTCTTGCTTGCCTCACTCCTTTCCTCCCTCTCTTCTTGACTTGCCACAGTTTGTACAGTGACTGTTTGAAGTTACAACCAGCGGCTGAGAAAGTGATTTATGACTGTTTTCATACTTAACAACCATTGCAGCATCCCTCTGGTCATGTGATCAAAATTTGGACACTGGGCAACTGGCATGGACTTAGGACCTTCCAACAGGCAAAGACAATGGGGAAGCCACTGAACAGCCGTGTTACTCACTTAATAACCGCCGTGATTCACTTAACAACTATAGCAAGAAAGGTTGTAAAATGGGGCAAAACTCACTTATCGACTGTCTCACTTAGCAAAATCCATGTCGGTCTAAATTTTGGTTGTAAGTCAAGGACCACTTGACCCAGAGATAGAATGAAGAGCAGCATGTTCTCTCCTCCTTTCATAGCTGCAGACACAGCTGTGAATAATTTGCTTTCTGTAACTGGAAACCAAACGAGTAGAAATAATTGCACCCCACAATGTTCGCTCTGGGATGTTTGTAGTTCAAGTGAGCTTTGCAAAAAAATGTGGTGTTGTTTTTTTTTTAAGTCTTATTTGGCAGCAATAGAAAATAATTGCAGTAAGCCAAATTCCCAGGCTAAATGTGCCCTAATTAGGAGGAAGCATTGAACTTTTAAGGGGGAGATGATGCTTGGCAGGGCTTCTAGGGTAAATTGCATAACAAGACTTGTAAAAACCAACATCTCATTTGAATTTCTTTTATACAAGCGGTCCTCGACTTTTACAATCGCAACTCAGCTCTACATTTCTGTTGCTAAGCGAGTCCTTTGTTAAGTGAGTTTTGCCCCATTTGCTTGTCAGAAGGCCACACAAAGTGATGATATGACCCCGGGGCACTGCAACCATCCTAAATATAAGTCAAGTGTCTTAATTTTGATCACGTGACCATGGGGATGCTGCAACCGTTGTACAGTAGTGGCCAAAAGTGTGGAAACCTTTTGGGAAAAGTGTATTTTTGAGGTTTGATGGCTAATAACACCCCTTTTTTTTGGAGTAGTACCATAAAATTATGTATCAATGGAAAGATAATTTAATCAAGAATGTAATGCAACAAAGTTTGTTCAATTATCTGTACTATATTCTATGAAAAGTTATAGCCAAATAACCAGAAAAAGGAAGCACAACTTGCTTCGGTTGATATCAGGTAGCTTTCCTTCATCCGATTGTAACCAATGAGCATGAGTGTTTAGAGAGCCAATCAGGTGTCATCTTGTTTTAATAATAATAATTTGGCCATGAGCCAATCAGATCACAGCAGGATTCAGTGATTGATGTCCTGTATTGAAGTTGAGAGGAGGACATGTGTCAGTGTTTGTGTGATGGCTATCAAGTTGGTTGGGGGGTTTTTTGTGTTCTTTCATTTAGTGAGCTTGTAAAAAGTAATAAAATTAAAGTCATGGTGCAAAGAGTTGACTGGTTGCCCAGAAAGCGATGTAAAATAGTATTATTAAGTGAACAAGGCTACAGTTACCGTATATGCCGGCATATAAGACGACTTCCGGAAGCGCTAAACTCGGCACCAAAGACAGGGGTCGTCTTATATGCCAAGTCGTCTTATACGCCGGAAATACTGGTAGTTTCCGGCGTATAAGACGACGTTCTAGGAATGCAGCTCGGCGATAAAGACGAGGGTCGTCTTATACGCCGGGTCGCCTAATACGCCGGCATATACGGTATAAAGAAATTAGAAGAAAAATGGGTGGAAACTTAACCAAAGGTGACATTTCTACTGTAGACTTTTCCCAAAAGGTTTCCACAATTTTGGCCACGACTGTAAATGGGGGGGAAAAATACTAAGTCATTTTTCTCAATGCTATTGTAACTTCAAACAGTCGCTCAGTGACAGTTGTAAGTCGAGGACTATATGTGATTCTGAACTTCATTTCCCAAGATCTAGAAAGTTGTTCTTTTCTAGCTGTAAAGAGATTTAGCGATAACCTTGGGGAAGGTATGAAGAGGCATTAAGGAGAGACTTGGGCCGACACAACCCACAGTCCAGAAATAGAAGCGAGAGTGAGAAAGAAACTCAAGATAATCCTACTTTGATGTTGCTTAGTGTCAAGAGAAATTTGGATAGGATTTAAAGATGCTACAATAAAGTGCCATTTCTGGAATCCCTGTAGCAGAGGAGAGCAATTAATTTTCCCAAGGAGCCACATGAGAAACCAGGATTGTTTTGACGGTCCACACCAACAGAGATATGAAGGTGTGTAGGAATGCACACATGCACATATGTAAATTGAAAAAAAATAGTGGTTTGCCTTCCAATTAAAAGCAATCCAAGCAGGCCAGACAGGAACACCCAAAGAACCATATGTGGCCTGCCGGTTGTAAAATGCACAAGTATAGTATAGGTGGTACCTTGCTCAATAGTAGTAACTGTGAGGGATCTCAGAGTCCTAGTGGACAACCACTCAAATATGAGTCAGCCGTGGAAAGGCCAACACAGTGCTGGGCTGCATTAACAGAGGGATAGAATCAAGATCACGTGAAGTATTAATACCACTTTACAATGCCTTGGTAAGGCCACACTTGGTCACCACAATGTGAAAAAGATGTTGAGACTCTAGAAAGAATACAGAGAAGAGCAACAAAGATGATTAGAGGACTGGAGGCTAAAACATATAAGGAACGGTTGCTAGAATTGGGTATGTCTAGTCTAAGAAGGACGAGGGGTGACATGACAGCAATGTTCCAATATCTCAGGGGTTGCCACAAAAAAGAGGAAGTCAAGCTATTCTCCAAAGCACCTGAGGGCAGGACAAGAAGCAACAGATGGAAACTAATCAAGGAGAGTTAGAACAATTAACCAGTGGAAGAGCCTGCCTCCAGAAGCTGTGAGTGCTCCAACACTGGAAGTTTTTAAGAAGAGACTGGACAGCCTTTTGTCTGAAATGTTATAGGGTTTCCTGCCTGAGCAGGGGGTTGGACTAGATGACCTCCAAGGACCTTTCCAACGTTGTTGTTGTTGTTGTTGTTATTACCCAGTAGAATCTACTTTTTGACCTGATCTGCCCTGAATGGCTGCCAAAATCAGAGTTGTCCATCAGCTGAAGAAAAGATCAGGCTTTCATGACTTACAAATAATCCTCAACTTAACAACCCTTCACTCAGTGACTGTTCAAAGTTCTATGACCCTGAAAAAAAATGACTAATGACCAGTTCTCACACCTATGACCGTTGCAGCATCCCCATGCTTACGTGATCAAAATTTAGATGCTTGACCACAGACTCACATTTATGACGGTTGCTGTGTCCCAGGGTCACGTGATCCCCTTTTGCGACCTTCTGACAAGCAAAGTCCATGGGGGAAACCAGAATTCACTTAACAACCGTATTACTAACAGCTGCAGGGATTCACAGAACAACTGTGGCAAGAACAGTCGTAAAGTGGGGCAAAACCCGCTTAGCAACTTTTTTGCTCAGCCACATAAATTTTGGGTTCAGTTGTGGTCGTACGTCAACAACTGCCTGTCTTCCATTTTCTTGGCCCCAGAAGAAAGTTCTATTTCGTAGCATATCTTAACATTCTTCCTCCTCCACAATCATAAGATAATAAAGTTGAAAGGGACCTTGGAGGTCATCTAGTCCAATCCCCTGATCAGGCAGGAAACCCTATACCATTTCAGACAAATGGCTGTCCAGTCTCTTCTTAAAAACTTCCAGTGTTGGAGCAGCCACAACTTCTGGAGGCAGGTTGTTCCATTGATGAATTGTTCTGACTGTCAGGAAATTCCTTTTTAATTCTAGGTTGCTTCTCTCCTTGATTAGTTTCCATCCGTTGCTTCTTGTCCTGCCTTCAGGCGCTTTGGAGAATAGCTTGACTCCCTCTTCTTTGGGGCAGCCCCTGAGATCATTCATATCTGACCTTGTTTTCCTTTCCTCCTCTTTCAAGGTCTCTACATTGAAGATCTCCTTGAGAACTGGCAAGATAACTACGGAGTTTTGGAAGAAAACCATTCATATATTCAGTGGTAAAATGATGTGCTCTTGTGCAATTGTTTCATTAAATATATGATGGGGTCCTGAAAAAGTCTTAGGAATAAAAATGCTAGAAGTTGGCACATTGCAGTCTGACATGTCAGTTTCCCAGTTAGAGGTAGTCCTCGACTTAACGGCCAGAATTTCCATGGCGGTTGTTAACTTGAGTCACGACCGATTTTATAGCCTTTTTGCCTTTTGTTGTTAAGTGAATTGCATGGTCATTAAGCGAATCTGGCTTCCCCTATTTGGCCTCGTGTGTCGGAAGCCAAACAGGAAGCTCGCAAATGGGGATCCCATGACCCTGGGACGCTGCAACCATTCTAAATACATGCCAGTTGCTAAACGCCTTGATTAAATAGTAATAAAGTTGGAAGGGATCTTGGAGGTCATCCAATCCAACCCCCTGCTCAGGCAGGAAACCCAAATCACAACCGTGCATATGTGCAAGGCCCACAAGCAAGTCATAAGTTACTTTTTTCAGTGCTGTTAATAACCTTTGACAGGTGGCGAAATGAATAGTTGTAAGTCAAGGAAGTCAATTGTTTTAGAAAAAGCACTTTCCCTAAGGCAGGGCTTTTCAACCAGTGGTACGGGTATACCACCTGTGGTAAATTGGTACCTGGCAGGTGGTATGCAACCATCCTAGAAAAGTGGTAGCGGGGGAGGGGAATGAGCTGAACCGGTGGCAGCACCGCACAAGCCTGAGCGAGAGACGGCTGGAGCTGCAGGGCTGTCAGGGCTCAGCGGAAGCGCCAGGATCAGTGCTGCTTTCCAGCTGATCGGCACTTCTTCGGGGCTGTCAGGGCTCAGTGGAAGTGCCAGGATCAGTGCCAGGCTCCAGCTGGAGCTTGGCACTGATCCTGGCACTTCTGCTGAGCCCAGAAGAAGTGCCAGTCAGCTGGAATGTTGCAGCATCTCCAGGGTCTTGTGGTTTACATTCAGATGCTTGGCAACTGATGCATATTTATGATGGTCATAGTGTCCCAGGGTCATGGGAAGTGATCAAAACCTGCTGCAACCACCCAGCAGACGGGGAGGAATAAAAACCAAACACCCCCCCACCCCACCCCCGCTGCCAATCCTCAACAGAAATGCTCACAACAATGAAAACCTCGGGTAGGAGGAAGAGCACCACCAGGTGGGCAGGCAGGTGTCTTGCTCGGCTGTGCCTTGGGGGACACTTTTTTCAATGCCATTGTAACTTCGAACACTTAAAACTAAGTGAACTGTTTTAAGTCGAGGACTACCTGTACTTTATCATGTTTTTCTGGGTTGGTTTGGTTTTTTTTTTTTTAATTTTTTTTTTTGGTCATCAAGTTTTTGACACCTTGCTAGGCGACTGGTGGTACTTGGATATTGCCATCTCCTAAAAGTGGTACAATGGGTGAAAAGGTTGAAAAGCCCTGCCCTAAAGCATGGAGTTTGGTGCGTAGCAAGTGTTTCTCCAGAGAAATGTCCTCTCCTCCTAGTTCAGTGATGGCGAACCTTTTAGAGACTTGAGTGCCCCAAAACTGGCCCCGCTCCCGCACCGTCCCTACCCCGCTTGCCCGCAGGGCCACTCACCGCCTCCAGGGCCTGCCGCAGATCACCCAACAGCACCATGGAGGCCACGCCCTCTGCCCACGCCCCACAGCATCAACTGTGCGCTATGGGGCGTGAGGGCAGAGTCTTGTCTACGCTGTCTGGCTGCCATGTTCTTGGCTGCACTGCTGCGCGTGGGCCACGCTTGGGGGCGACTCTCCTCCAGGGGGACTGCTGGTGAGGGGGTCGCGGGGGGGAGGTGAGGCTGGGGCAACGGCACGTGTGCCCACAGAGAGGGCTCCGAGTGCCGCCTCTGGCACCCGTGCCATAGGTTCGCCACCACTGTCCTAGAGTGTAATCTTCAGACACACCAGTTCCCTGAGGAGAACTTCTGTAGCAAAAGGGCTGTAATCAGCAGTGGATTGTTTTTATTATAGGTAACCCTCGACCTCCCATCATAGTTGAACCCGAAATTTCTATTGCTAAGCGAGCCAGTTGTTAAGCGGGTTTGGCCCCATTTTACGAGCTTTCTTGCCACAGTTGTTTTTAAGAGAACCGCTGTAGTTGTTAACTTAGTAACACTTTTGTTAAGAAAATCTGGTTTAGTAACATGGTCACAAAAGGGGATGACATGATTCTGGGACACTGCAACCGTCCTAAATATGAGTCGGTTGCCAAGTGTCTGAATTTTGATCTTGTGACCACGGGGCATGCTGCAATGGCCCTGAGTGTGAAAAACGGTCAAAAATCCCTTTTAGTGCCATTGTAACTTTGAATGGTCGCTAAATCAATTTGTTATAAGTCGAGAACAACCTGTAAAGCTCATTCCAGTTGGTGCTTTCTATGTTGTAATGCTTTAGCACAGGGGTCTTCAAACTCGGCCCTTTTATGACTTGTGGACTTCAACTCCCAGAATTCCTCAGCCAGGCACCTGTGCCTGGCTGAGGAATTCTGGGAGTTGAAGTCCACAAGTCATAAAAGGGCCAAGTTTGAAGACCCCTGCTTTTAGCATAAGGTTTTAATGCAAACATTCCTTGGCAATTACCCCATTAAAAGTTACAGTCCTAAGTCACATTTTTCAGTGCCATTATAACTGAGCAGTCACTAAATGAACTATTGCAGATCGAGGATGCCTTGCACATTTACTGTACTGCAAGAGTAAATTTATTGTGGAATAAATCGGACTAAAATAAAGATTTATGTGCAACGTAGAAATTTTGCAATTTTGATCCCAGGAGCAGGCTGAGCCTGATATGTGTGAAATGTCTAATTGCTAGAAAAAATATTGGGCAAACAAGTGGATTTTAAACCTGAACTTTTTCTACTAGGCATTATGCCTGAAAAGACTAATAAGCAGAAATTATATTTAATTTTACACATCCCCACAGCAGCAAGAATCATTTTTGCACAATACTGGAAGAATGAAGGATTGCCATCAGAGGAAGAAATAATCAGGAAAATACTGGAATGTGCAGAGATGGACAGATTAACTATGAGGTTGAAAGACAAAGAAGATACAGATTACTATCCAATTTGGAATTTATTTTATTCTTGGTTAGAGAAAAGAATGAAGGATTAGGAATTGAACATGTATTAGCAAACTCCAGACAACTTCTTGATTGGAAAAATTAACATATGTTGATGAAAAAAAATTAATAATTTTTTTTTAAAAAAAGGAATGTCTAATTGCTTCTTTTAGGGATGTGCAAAGTGTCTTGATCAAGATATTTTGCCCTTCTTTAACTTTTCTAAATAGCTGCTGCTCACTCAGGAGCATCGGCTAAGCTAAGCGTTTAATGCCGCTGTTTTGCTGCAGTGCATTTCATTAAAGCGAGTGTTTCTTTCTGATATTTTTTTTTTAAATCTTTTCTGACTGTCAGATGTTTTGTTCCTTCCAGGCTGTTTCCTTTACGTGAACAAGGGATGAATTTTCATGCCAAACGGCTCACATGCCAAGAAATTGAGGTAGGAAGATCTTTTCTCGTTTTTGTAATATTCCCATCTCATCCATGAAATTACGGTTTTTTATACTTTGTCTCATGGTATCCACCGTATTACCCCAGCTGCAAGCATCGCATTTTAGAATTCATTAACACATTTTATTGATTTGTAGGATGTACAGGAACAAGTGATTAGGACCTGTAATAGATTGAGGCCGAGAATTTAGGAGGGACATTTTTTTCAGGATCCAAACTGGATCGGTCGTTAGGACCAGAAGTTCCCACCCTCCCCCCCCAAAAAATTTGCTTCTTTCTTCACAAATTTTTTGACCCACTCTTTTCCTGAAGGAAACAATATGGGTAGTCCTTGATGTATGACCACAATTGAGCCTAAAATTTCTGTTGCTAAATGAGACCATGGTTACCTGAGTTTTGCCCCATTTTACGACCTTCCTGGCCACAGTTGTTAAGTGAACTGCTGCAATTGTTAATCGGGAACACGGTTGTTAAGTGAATCTGGCTTCCCCATTAACTTTGTTCATTCAAAAAGTCACAAAGGGTGATCACATGACTCGGGGACACTGCAACCGTCATAAATACTGGTAGTCCTCAAGTTACAACCGCAAATTGAGCCCAAAGTTTATGTTGCTAAGTGAGAATTTTTTAAAGTGAGTGTTGCCCCATTTTATGACTTTGCTTGCCACATTTGTGAAGTGAATCACTGCAGTTGTTAAATTAGTTGTCAACGCTGCTAACATCGGATGTTTTAGCTTTGGCAACACATGGAGTTGCAGCCATTTTCCTTCTTGGGTTTTACTCTTAGAATTAGAGTTAGAATTAGATAATGCTGGGGGAAAGGAGGAGAAGGAATGTGCATGGGAGTTTAGTTAGACATAACAATACTGTAGCTAGTGTGGGAACCAAGGTTATTGAAATAAGAGATGATAAGAATTGGTGGGTTGGAGAACTGGAGGGAAAGCCTGCATTTCAAACTAATTGGAGAATGTGATTTATGACTGTGAATTAGAGGAGGGAATTGTGCTTTGATACTATGTGCTAAGGGGAGGGGAACTCAGATTTTGGCTTTGATTATGTTAGTGCTATGCTGCTCAAATAAAGATTCTTTAAGGTAAACAATGCCTCGAAGTTATTTGAAGAGTTTCATCTGTCGGAACGACATTAGTAGCACGGATGTTAAGTTAATCCACCCTCCCCAATTGACTTTGCTTGTCAGAAGGTTGCAAAAGGGATCACACGACCCTGGGACACTGCAACTGTCATAAATGTGATCTATTGTTAAGCATTCGAATATAAATCATGTGACAGTGGAGATGCTGCAATGGTCATAAGTGTGAAAAATGGTCATAAGTCACTTTGGTCAGTGCCATGTAACTTCAAACGGTCACTAAGCAAACTGTTGTTAAGCCGAGGACCCCCCGTATATGCCAGTGGCCAAGCGTCTGAATTTTGATCATGTGACCATGGTCATAAGTGTGGAAAACAGCCATAAGTCACTGTTTTCAGCGCTGTTGTAACTTCAGACAGTCACTAAATTAATTGTTATAAGTCAAGGACTTATCTGTAAAGCTCATTTCAATTAGTGCTTTTTATATTGCAATGCTTTCGAATAATAGCAATAGCACTTAGACTTATATACCGCTTCACAGTGCTTTACAGCCCTCTCTAAGTGGTTTGCCCCTCATTTTACCGACCTCGGAAGGATGGAAGGCTGAGTCAACCTTGAGCCGGTCAGGGTCGAACTCCTGGCAGTCGGCGGAGTTCGCCTGCAATACTGCATTCTAACCACTGCACCACCAATGGAATGGAATGGAATAGCAATATCAATAGCACTTAGACTTATATACCGCTTCACAGTGCTTTACAGCCCTCTCTCTCTCTAAGCGGTTTACAGAGTCAGCCTATCGCCCCCAACAATCTGAGTCCTCATTTTACCGACCTTGGAAGGATGGAAGGCTGAGTCAACCTTGAGCCGGTCAGGGTCGAACTGCTGGCAGCTGGCAGTCAGCAGAAGTAGCCTGCAATTCTGCATTTTAACTACTGCGCCACCACAGTTCATAATAAAGCTTTAACACAAATAGTCATTGGTGGTTTCCCCATTAAAAGTTACATCCACCATATTAAACGGTAGAAATATAATGCCAAATAGCAAAAAAATGAGACGAAATAGCAAGTTACAATTGGGGTAGATATTTCACATGATCCTTTTTTATATGCCTAAGTGTACTGGAGGGGGTTGTTGATTTGATATTTGATATCTTTTTTTTTTTTAATATATAATATCTCAGGCCTTCAAGAAATCTAAAGAAGTCATGGAGAGGTTCGTCCGGGCTTATAAACTCATGTTGAAATTTTATGGCATCAGCTTAATCAGTGAGGAAACGGGAGAATTGAAAAAAGCTGAAAACTGGTGTGAGAGATTTGGAAACCTCAATCGGTGAGTTTCTTCAGCGATTATCTCTCGGCCTGTTTTCATCTGTATGCCTCATAACTGGCACCTTTACCTGACACCAGAATTGCTGCAGATGAATTGAAGCCGATAAGAACTAAGAGGAAGTGTCAGCATAGGCTTTGATGATGGTGCTCTCTGAGCTTGGTTGTTTTCTTGCAGATGTTTCATTGCCCAACTAGGTAACATCATCAGTGCTAGAAAGGAGGGTGTTTGGGGGGGGGAGGAGGAGGAGAAGGAGGAAGAAGAAGACGACTGTGGGGTCCTTGGTGCTCTCTGAGCTTGGTTGTTTTCTTGCAGATGTTTCATTGCCCAACTAGATAACATCAGTGCTGGAAGGGAGTGGATTTTAAACTTATTTTTATAGACTAGTCGCTTGCCAATCAGTGGTTCCTTGATTAGGCTGTTATATAATCATCATCATCATCATCTTAACAATTGTCAATAAGAAAGACAAAAAAGTCTGGATAGTGGACGTGGCAGTGCCTGGAGACAGCAGAATAGACGAGAAAGAACTGGAGAAGATAACAAAATACAAAGACCTACAAATAGAAATAGAAAGACTGTGGCAAAAGCAAGCAAGGGTAGTACCAATACTGATAGGCGCCTTGGGTGCAATCCCAAAACAACTGGAGCACCACTTGAACACCATCATCAGCATTGACAAATTCGCTATTAGTCAACTGCAAAAGGCGGCCTTACTAGGAACTGCTTCCATCCTGCGACGATATCTGTAATACCATCAAACATCCACATCTGCCTATCCCAGGCCCTGGGTAAGGACTCGATAGGTAGACAAAATGCCAAATCCAGTCTGAACATCTGGCTGACTGTGCGATGATCCATAATAATAATAATGATAAAATTGGAAGGGATCTTGGAGGTCATCTAGTCCAACCCCCTGCTCAGGCAGGAAACCCTATACCATTTCAGACAAATGGCTGTCCAGTTTCTTCTTAAAAACTTCCAGTGTTGGCGCATTCACTGCTTCTGGAGGCAGGTTGTTCCAGTGGTTAATTGTTCTAACTGTCAGGAAGTTTCTCCTTAGTTCTAGGTTGCTTCTCTCTTTGGCTAGTTTCCACCCATTGATTCTTGTCCTGCCTTCAGGTGCTTTGGAGAATAGCTTGACTCCCTCTTCTTTGTGGCAGCCCCTGAGATATTAGAACACTAATTTGCTATTTGATTATTTTTCTGCATTAGTATTTGTTTGATTTGGGTATTGCTTACTTCATTTTTGGTTCAGCGTTAGTCTCGATGTTAATCTCTGCTCATACGGGTATTGATTGCTGGTGAGGAGGTGTGCTAGACTTTTTGTTTCCTATGGGTTTTTTTATTGTCTCTTTTGAGTGACATGTAGTTGTTGTTTATGTACCTACTGATAGCCAATTTGTTTGAGTACCCGGCTCAGTACCACTCCCTTCTAGTAATAATAATAATAATATAGTAATAGTAATAGCAATAATAAAGTTGGAAGGGACCTTGAAGGTCATCTACTCCAACCCCCTGTCCAAGCAGGAAACCCTATACCATTTCAGACCAATGGCTGTCCAGTCTCTCCTTAAAAACGTCCAGTATTGGAGCATTCACAGCTTCTGGAGGCAGGTTGTTCCACTGATTAATTGTTCAGTGATGATGTTACCTAGTTGGGTAATGCAATGTCTGAAAGAAAATCACCAACTCGGAGAGCACCAAAGACCCCACAGTTCAACCCTGAGCTACAAAAATTATCTTTGATCAGACAATGATCACCTGTGGTTTTGCACAGAGTAAATGGTCATTTCCTACATGCGTAAGCTCCTTTGGAATAAACAATAAATGTAATAAACAATTCTTTGGAACTGGTTCTTTGTGAAGCCTTCAGGCTGTAGTTCTTGTGTGAAAAAAATGTCTAGCTCAAAGCATCCCATCTTGAGTTTGGAACTTTGGGTTAAGTTAGGACAACATCAAGGCACTCTTCTGTAATAACAAGGTTGAAAGGGATCTTGGAGGTCTTCTAGTCCAGCTTCCGCTCAAGCAAGAGACACTATATCATTTCAGACAAATGGTTGTCCAATCTCTTCTTAAAAGCCTCCAGTGTTGGAGCATCCCACAACTTCTGGAGGCAGGTTGTTCCACTGATTTAATTCTTCTGTCAGGAAATTTCTCCTTAGTTCCAGGTTGCTTCTCTCCCTGATTAGTTTCCATCTGTTGCTTCTTGTCCTGCCTTCAGGCACCTTGGAGAATAGCTTGACTCCCTCTTCTTTGTGGCAGCCCCTGAGATATTGGAACACTGCTATCATGTTACCCCCTAGACCTTCTCTTCATTAAACTAGACATACCCAATTCCAGCAACTGTTCCTTATATGTTTTAGCCTCCGGTCCCCTAATCATCTGTATTGCTCTTCTCTGCACTCTTTTTAGAGTCTCAACATCTTTTTTACATTGTGGTGACCAAAACTGGATGCAGTAAGTGGCCTTACCAAGGCATTGTAAAGTGCTATTAACACTTCACATGTTCTTGATTCTGTTAATGCAGCCTAGGACTGCATAGGCTTTTGGGGGGGGGGGGGTTGTCGGCAAAAGCATCATGAAACATGCTCACATGATTGCAGGATGCTGCAAATGTCCATGAATTAATTAATTAACTTTTCATACTGCTTAACTTGCTCTAGGCAGGCAGTGTACAATTTAATCATTAAAATTAAGCATTTAAAATGCTTAAATGCAGCTCAGTTTGTCGGCTGCCCAAAATTCAGTCATGTGACATCCGGAGGAGTGAGGCAACTCACCACTGGAATTTCATACTAAATCCAGATCATAAGTAGCCCCCACCCCATAGATCTGTCATAACTTCAAATGGTTGCTAAACAGCTGGTCACGATTCAAGAACTACCCGTAATACAGCTTTTATTTCCATTTTTCATGTCTCAATTGTACCTCATTCTCCTTCTCTTTCCCCCCCCCCCACTTTGAATGATTGCTAAGCAACTGGTTGTAAGTTGAGGCCTAGTTGTGATACAGATTTTAAATTCCATTTTTTTTTATATCTCAGTTGTACTTAATTGTCCTTCTCTTTCTCCTCCTCCCCCCCCCCCCAACATCTTGTCCTCCTCATTTTTTTATATATATTTTTGGTCCAGATACAGCCATAACAATTTACGGATCACTCGCATCTTGAAATGCTTGGGAGAGATGGGCTATGAACACTACCAAGTGCAGCTGGTGAAGTTCTTCCTGACAGAGACTCTGGTCCACCAGGTGTTGCCTCGGGTGCTGAGAAGTGTCTTAGACTACTTCATGTTCACCATCCGACACAAACTCAAACGACGGGAATTGGTCTATTTTGCCTGGCAGCACTTCAAGCCAAAGCACGAATTTGTCTGGGGTCCTCACAAGAAACTCCGGAGGTTCAAACCTCAGTCCTCCGAGCTTCTGAGTCATCCAGAAGAGCGAGAACACACCAAGAAAGGAGATGGAGAGGTTGTGGAGAAGGACAATGTTGAGTCACCCCAAGCAATCCTTCAGGGACTTACGGAAAGGAAGTCTTCTGAGCAGGAAGAAGCTAGGGAAGCTCTAGAAAAAGAGAAACATGGGTTGTCAGAGGAGAGCTGTGTTGCTCATGTTGATTTGGGTACAACGATACATCATAACCATATTGAGCAGCCTGTATCCAGCATTAGTGCCACGTTGAGCCTTTCAGCCAGTAACTCTATGCAGGACAAAGGTGTTGGGAGGAGAACAACCTCTGTAGAAGATGCTGACCTAATGCAAGATGGGGAGTTTGTAGAAACCCAGTTGAAACCCGTAGATGACTATAAGACTTCCAGAACAGCAAATCAATCTCATCTTGCCTTGGGAGAGAAGGAAGCCAAGGGAGACAGTGAAGAAGGCAGAGTAGCTTCAGATTGTCTTTTGGAAAGAAAGGATCATGCTGATGAGCGTGTGGGTGAAGCTGAGGAAGAAAACCTCAAGGAATCTAAGAAGAGGAAGCTGGAGCTGAACAGATTAAGTGGAGAAATCCCTGAGGCATCCAAAAGCTCCAATGACATTGAGAGGATCTCCCAAAATCTTGGCGAGGTGGTGATTACCAAGGAGGAGATTAACTTCTTGGCCCCCAAAGGTGGCAGTGAGGACTCCAGAGACGGGAAGATGGTTGAATCCCTGGATGCGGTGAGAAAGAGACGGAAAGTGGACATTGCACCCAAAGATGATTCTTCAGAAGTAGACAGTGAGGTGATCTCATCTAAAGACCAAGGAGCAAGTTGTAGTACTCACGAAGTTAAGGAGAAAGATCTTGTCTGCCAAGAAGAAACCAAAATGGCGGCCCATCCTTCTGAAGACACTTTGATAGGACCTAAGGCTGGATGTGTGGATGTGTTGGTTGATTCCAAAAAGAATGACCTCCCTGGGGATAGCTATCTTCTGGAGAAAGTGAATGAACAAGAAGCTACTGCTCCAACAAAAAGTGATGTCCCTTGGTTGTCTGAAACTATGACAGTTCATGAAAAGGATATAAGAAACAATGCAGGATGGAAAGAGCAGGACTTTAAAGAAACATCTGATGGTTTCCTAGAAAGGAATGAAATCTCCAAAATAAAGGAACGTGAAAACACCATGGCTAGACCGGAAGAAGAGTAGTCCTATCCCAGATCGGATGAAATTGTCCCAAAATTCTAGAGCAGTGTTTCTCAAACTTGACAAATTTAAGGCATGAGGACTTCAATTCCCAGAATTCCACAGCCAGCAACGCTGGCTGTGGAATTCTGGGAGTTGAAGTCCACATGCCTTAAAATTGTCAAGTTTGGGAAACACTGCTCTAGAGGTCCGAGCGGCGTGTATCTTTTCAAAAGCAGATCAAAATAACCCTTGCTTGGTTTATGGTTTGGTCTCTCCAGGTTTTTATAAATATGGGATGTAATTGACATCTAAGGGTAACGTCTTTAGGACTGAGGTGTGTGACTTGCGCATCTGATAGTCCCACTTCCAGAAGTCTTATATCTTCTAATTAATTGCCCAAGGGCTTTGTTCTTTTTTTTAACAGAAAGCACAGACCTGTTAAATACAATGTATGCAACCTTGCAGGTGTGATTTGCGGTGTTTGCTAGATGAGCCACAAGAATGTTATTTGCTAAATTAAGTTTGTCTTTGTTAAATAAAGATCTTTTAACTTTTTGAGGTGATATTTCTGGTTTCTTGTTGAAAAAGGAATGAACTAAACGGTCTTCCATAGTTCTGTGTGTCACCACTCTGCAATAGGGACCCCAGAGCATTAAGGAAGAAAAAATAACATACATCTACTCCTTGAATTACAACCACAATTGAGCCCAAAACCTATGTTGCTAAGCGGGACAGTTGTTAAGTGAATTTTGCCTCATTTTACAACCTTTCTGGCCACAGTTGTTAAGCGAATCACTGCAGTTATTAAGTTAGTAACGTGATTGTTAAGTGAATCTGGCTTCCCCATTGACTTTGCTTGTCAGAAGGTCACAAAAGGGGATCATATGACCCCGGGACACTGCAACCGTCATAAATATGAACCAGTTGCCAAGTATCTTAATTTTGATCACATGACCATGGGAATGCTGCAATGGTTATATATGTGATAACGAGTCATAAGTCACTTTTCCAAAGTCATTGTAACTTTGTAACGGTCGCTAAATGAAATATAACTTGAGGAATACCTACATCTGTATCTTAACTATTCCCAGTGGTGTTTGGGGACTGGCGGCACAGACTTCTGAAAACAGGCAAGAAGCTCGTAACTATTAACTAAAATTGAACTTGTTTCTTGTTTTATTGATCGCCTCCTATTAATCTTCATGGAGATCCTATGACAGATTGAGGATGGTGTGATGTAGTGAGAAAGAATGGTAGAACCTGGAGGTGGCATGAAAAGGGGGTTCAGCCTAGAATCCCTGAGTACCCACGATAGAACTAACCCCAACCCCCGTTGAGTGCCGTTAGATACTGTAAGCAGGTACCAACTATTAATTGAGGAGATTCCTATGCTTAGGTTGAGAAGATTCCTGCGCATAGGCTTTTAGCAATGAAGCATTTTAATGGAATCTTTACAAATGGACCTGGTCTTTCATGCCTAATAGGTAGGAAAGTTATGAAGGAGATTTAATCAAGAGATGGAAGGCAAATCCATTGGCATTTTATCTCATAAGCTTATCCCAAGTGCAGAGAAATCTGGAAAGAAGCATTTCAGATCACTCAAGGAATCTCTACCTGACCAATCCATAAATAAATGAGGATTGGAAATTCTTAACAGTTTCCAAGATTCTATACAGGTAGTCCTTGACTGACAACCATGCATTTAATAACCAAAGTTACAGTGGATTGCAATCTGCAACCTCAGGCAACCTCCAACAAAGTCAATGGGGAAAGCTGGGTTTGTTTAAGGACCATGTAATTTGATCATGGTGATTTACTTAACTGTTCACCGCAAATAATTGTAACACTGGGTGTCACTCACCTAGCCACTGTATCGCTGAGCAACAGAAGTTATGGTTCCACTTGTAAGTTTAGGACTGCTGTATTTTTCACCACCTCGAAGACTGGCATTAGTAAAATCTCTGGAGTTTTAATTCTTGCTGCCTTGACCTTGCCATCTGAGCTTATGATTAACCTGCTACATATAAAGGAAAAATGAACATGTGTTTTAGAAGAACAGAGCACATTGACCCAAAACACCAGGAAGTTTTACTTTCCCACCTAGATCACTGTCAACCCTTTAGAAGAAACCCAGAAGCCCTAGCCTTTTCTAAAAGCTTTGCAGAAAATAACAAGAAATGAGACAAATACATTTAGCCAGACAAACTGTAAGTTAATATGCATCATGATAGAAACCAGAAGTAGAGCGGTGTGGTGGCCTAGTGGTGAAGACACTCACCTCCCACAGAGTAGGTTGAGAGTTCAAACCTAGGTAGCAGCAAAGGTTTCTCCTAGGGCAGGGGCAGGCAACCTTGGCTCTTTTAGGACTCATGGACTTCAACTCCCAGAATTCCTGAGCCAGCCATGCTGAGGGAAAAGGGAGAGGTTTCCAAGCTGAGCCATGCTGGCTCAGGAATTCTGGGAGTTGAAGTCCACCCATCTCTTGAGTGGCCAAGGTTGAGAAATACAGGCCTAGGCCAGGGGTAGGCAACCTTGGCTCTTTTATGACTCGTGGACTTCCAACTCCCAGAATTTCTGAGCCAGCCATGCTGAGGGGAAAGGGAGGTTTTCAAGCTGAGCCATTCTGGCTCAGGAATTCTGGGAGTTGAAGTCCATGAGTCATAAAAGAGCCAAGGTTGCCTATCCCTGTCCTAGGGCATGAAGGAAAAAAATATCTGCTGTGAACTCTGCAGGGTGTCAGGAAGGGCATCCAGCCAGTAAATACTCAGCTCCATCCAGGTACTCCGACAAAAACAGACCCTATGCCAAAACAACAAGATTACTATTTTATACAGAAGCAAGACCTTGGTGTAAACTCGTTATCCATCGGTAGTCCTCACTTTATGATCATAAGTGATTATGTGAATCGTCTTCCCCCATTGACTTTGCTTGTTGGAAGCTGGCTGGGAAGGTTGCAAATGAAGAGTACATAATCCTGGGATGTCACAATTTCTATAAATTCATGCTGGTTGCGAACCCATCAAATCACAAGCACATGACCCAAGAATGTGGTGATGCTCCTTAAATGTGGGAACCGGTGATAAGTCACTTTTTTCAGTGCTGTTGTAACTTCAGATGGTTGCTTAAGGGGGTGTCTGATCTAATACTCTTGTGTTTATGAGTCTAGGCTAATTCCCTGTTTGAGCCTCCCCCTTTAACTGGGATGTTTGCTCCCCAACTCTACTATTCAGATGGCCACAGACAGGCCAAAGTATGCACCAATTTCAAGAAAGGATTTCTCCTTGATTAGTTTCCATCCATTGCTTCTTCAGATGCTGTTCTTTGTGGCGGTCCCTTAGATAGTGGAAGATTTCTAACATGTCACCCCCTAGGAGGGTGATGCTACCAATTGCCAGTCAACCTCACTATCTTGGACAAGTCATGATGGTGAACTCTCCCTTCATGTTGACTGGGAAATGCTGGGAGTTGAAGTCCACACAACATCATCAAGTTGCCGAGATTTAGAAACATTGCTCTAGACCAGGAGTGGGCAACCTTGGCTCTTTTATGACTCGTGGACTTCAACTCCCAGAATTCCTGAGCCAGCCATTCTGAGGGGAAAGGGAGATGTTTCCAAGCTGAGCCATGCTGGCTCAGGAATTCTGGGAGTTGAAGTCCACGAGTCATAAAAGAGCCAAGGTTGCCTACCCCTGCTCTAGATTCAGGGATGTCAGCCAGGAAAGGGTCAAAAAAAAGTCAAGATGGCATCCGCCACTGTGCATTTGAAACCCTGCCCTGTTTGTACATGTGTTGTGCATGCAGTGCAAGTCAAAATGGGGCAGGCCTTGGATTGCAGAGTGGCAGCTGCCTCTGGCTTTTTTGACCACTTCCTTAGATGCCTCTGCTTGGTTGGTTGCTACCTTGCATGCAAGCTGAATTGAGAAACTATCTTTTCAATCGGCATTCGTGATGGGATCCTCTTCAAGAGTTATTCTTGTTTTAAGCATCTGTTAGGCCAGTGGTGGTGGACCTATGGCACGGGTGCCAGAGGCAGCACTCAGAGCCCTCTCTGTGGGCACACGCGCTGTCGCCCCAGTCCTAGGCCTTCAGCTGGGTTTTATAAAACCTTTTCGCTTTAGGCCTCGGCCACCATGTGTAAAAAAAAAAAAAGTTCAATCAATCAATTTCAACCTCGCAGGCAAAAAAAAGATCTTGGAAAGTTGAAATTGATTGATTGAACTTTTTAGTCCCACCCAGTTGGCCATTATTACTGCCCACCCAATGGGCCATGCCCACCCAGTTGGCCACACCCACCCAATGGGCCACACCCACCTGGCACCCGGCGATACATAAGTGAGTTTTTGGTTACAGTTTGGAGCACTCGGTCTCTAAAAGGTTTGCCATCATTGTGTTAGGCTGAAGAAGTAACTTCCAGTCCATCAGTGATCCTCAGTTTCATCCTGCTGAGAAAGATTATGCCAGTAATAAGGGAAGAATTATGGGGCAGCAGGAGGGCTTTGTCATTGATCTGAGTTACCAGAAGGATGAATGGACTCATTTTTACATCTTTAAGCCTTCAACGGTTCAGATAATAATCACAGCATGTACTTACTAAAGGAAGATCAATTATCAGCCATTAGCTGGCAGGCTTTATGGACATCTTCACCATGAATTATGTGATATTTACCAGTATCACAGACAGCTTTATAGAACCAGGCTTAAAGATGATTTAATGAATAATCTAGGTCCTTAATTGGATGAACAGAGAAATTCAACCAACCTAGAAGCGAAGTAAAAAAAAAAAAAAGGCACGTAGGGCTGAATGGCTGTAGCAGGGTTTGTCAGCCCTGGCTACTTTAAAATGTATGAACTTCAATTCGCAGAATTCCCCCAGCCAGCCATCCATAGGAATCTAGATCTATGGGATCTAGATCCTCTGTTTCCTTCCCACTTTAGTTCTAGATTGGATGGTGCTCCCTTAGACAGAATGTGAGTGCAATTTGGTGGTCCTTCTAGATCAGCAGTGTCAAACTCAACCCGCAGGCCAGGCACGTCACCAGGAAACCGAGCCCACTCCATTGCCGGCAATGGAGAAAACACTTCGATACATCGCGCAAAGTCACATGACATTGCAAATTTGACATGTCTGTTCTAGATCCACAGCTCCTGTTGAAAGGGCAGGTGGCAGCTGTGACCAAAAAGATCTTTGCTTCCATTTCTGGATGTGGAGGCCCTTCTCACAATCATAATAATCACTTCAGAGTTGGATTACTGTAATGCGTTTTAGATGGGGCTGCCCTTGAAGACTCTTTGATCCAGAATATATTAGTTACAAGGACACCTCAGTACACCCATCAACATCGCTACTTTGCAAGGTAGGGTTACCAGTGGGCTTCTGATGCAAACCAAGCCCCTTCATGGTGGAAGACCTGAATATTTACAGGATTTGTTTTTCTCCAGTTGTTTCCACCATCTGATAACATCTGGCAAGGTTCCATCATTAATGCCACCTTATAGGACCCAGGAGATGTCTGCTCTCTGTTGCTGTGTTTGGTATAGTACCCCAAAGAGGTTCA